TTTTAATTATAACTTGCATAATTAGGTGTCTTAACAAGACATCAACCATGAATGTATTTCATCGGCTATAAAGACAACTGTCTCTGGTAAATATACTGCAGCTAATTAAAGGTTGTTCGCAGAGTTGGAGAGAACAACATTAAAGAAAGCTTGGCTGTTGCCTGGTAATTATCCTCACTCTTTGCATGCCGGTGTCTTTACATGTTGGTCAAATTATCTTTGTAGATACAGAGATGCCACATTTGGCAAGTAATTCATGTAATTGCCTCATGTCAGTTCAAGAAAGCAGTTGTCCATTGTAAAAAAAGACAGAGAGCTGGTGGACAGAGACACTCGGTTAAAGCATGTTAAACGTAGTTTAAATCTCATCCCATTGGATCAAGGTTTGTGAAGCAGTCTGTCCTGTCTTGATGATCACAATATAAATCCCAACTGCTTCTAAAAACTGCAATTGTTTCCTTAAATCTTACCCAAGAGAACAGGTTTAGAAAGTCTGAGTAAATCAGTACAACTAATCCCAGTATAGTGTTCCCCATCCTAAGTAAATAATTTAAACAAATGTATTGTGAACCCTCCACACGCTGCATCAGCATTGCAAAGGAAAGGCCTCTGAAAGCAACAAGTAGCAACAAATACATAGATAAGCTATTAGTAGGCAGTGCACTGGATCTCCCTGCATGCATGTTCTGGATCTGGTCCACTGGCAAAGTCTCTGCCGTCAGCCAACAGTTGAGCTCCCATCACACTGAGGCAGTTAATCTGCCCTGCATATGGCGTAGCAGACACGACAGGAGTCAATTGACTATCTATTTTTGTTTTCAATAAGGTTTGCCATCCAGATATATACACCATTAGCTTAATAGATTGGTATAATCTTGCAATTGGAAACTTTTTCCAAGCAATCTGATCTGGCATACTGCAGTACATCAGTTGCTTAAACCAGCTCTACAGCTCAGCCAGCCATCCATGACAGACTAAAGAATGGCTTCATAAATATTCCTCTGAGCCCGATACAAATGTACAGAAATACATATAGTAGAGCATTGTCTATTAAATTGGCATTCGACAACAAAGAATAGTATTCCTATACTATACTGACATTTTAACTGATCAAACTGTGACGATGTTCCTATATATATATATATATATATATATATATATATATATATATATATATATATATATATATATATATATATATATATATATAAAAATGGAATAATTAATACTCCTGCTCCACGTCTGTCTCTCCGCTCTAACCGAGTGCTGAGCACCGAGCCTGAAAACTGGACCTGTCATTCTGTCATCTTATCAATATTGACGTTCTTTCTCCAGAATTGAGTGTTTCCCATTCACGTTTATAATAGCGTTTAAAATTATAACACAGTGCTTTCTTTCTCACGCACGCTACTGTGGATGGGGACGTGGCCAGGGTACTCACTGGACAGTGACAGTCAGCCATCAGCAGTGAAGGATGGCATCGTGTACATCTCCATGCTCATTGGCTCTACACAAAACAACTGCTCTCCGTTATACACATGCAATATATGAAGTAGCTGGCTAAAACTAAAAAACAGAATGATTACCAATATTTACCTTTAGTTCTTGCTTTATAATAACTTGTTTTTACACTTTTGTTATGTAAATGTTGAACTTATGATACAAGGTTTAAATAATAAGTTTATTATTTCTGATTTTAACATTATACACTAAAGGAGCTGGAGCCCAGTCAAGGTTATTGTGTGAACATGACATTCCTTAAAGATAAATCCATTTTGTTAGGCCAAGTCCCACATTTAAATTCTTCTTAAGCATACATTGATCTCCACAAAGGAAACATGTATAAGACTTTACAAATCCCTATGGTCTCGGAGACGCCCTGGTAATGCTGCATTGTAAACAACAACATGTTATCTTGTTGTTACATTTAGTTTTTGGGCAAAAAAGCATTTAGGTTAGGTCAGTTGGACAGATATTGGAAGGTAATCATGCCCTAAAAACTGTATTTAGACATAATAAAAGGGACTCTACTTATAATGACATGGGCTACTACCAAATTTCGGGGATCGTGACACGTGTTTCCCCCGCTATACGTCTCTCTTCCTGGTAGATGCCTACGTCTTTCAAACTCAACACCAGTTTGTAACCAAAGCTCCTGCTAGAAATGTGTTTTAACCAAAGCCTGAAATGATTCATCATTACATTAGGGTGTTTTTCTCAGACTTAACAACGTTCCTCCAGAGTCACAGATGACGTTATAGAACAGGACTAACCATAACCAGGCAAACTTGTCCATCGATACAATTCAATTAACTCAGCTTTTAGTCTTAAGAAACTAACCTAAAGTTAAAGAACAAACACAACACAAATTCTTTTACTCAAAACTCCACTTAAAATTGTTAAATTGTACTGTACAAGACCATGGAATGCTTCACCCCTCCCCCTGTGCGTACCTCAAACCAGTCGCTTTGTGATGTATTTTGTTACAGATTTATGAGAGCTTGGCTGCAGACATGGGCCTCCTCCTGCTGAGTACTGCTCTGCTGTCCACTCATCTGTCTGACTAAACACAACCAGTATAGGATTTAACAGCATTTTTATTCTCTTTCGCTGGTTCACCTCCTGAGTAAACTCCTGTCCTCCTGGCTGCTGATCCTCTGATCCAACAGCAACTTTTATAATGCACTAGCCCTGGCCGAACACCCCCTCTGTCATTCCGTGTCCTTTTCCCTACATCTCTCTATTCACTTTCCCCTCTCTGTAGTATGTTGGACTGCTGTCTAATGTATGCTAAGCTGCTGCTGCCATGGTAACCCGGTTTCAGGATTTAGAGACAGTTCAGGACTGGGGGGGGGGGCAGGTGGATGGCTCCCTATAGAACACAGGATAGAATTTAAAATTCTTCTTCTCACCTACAAAGCCCTTAATGGGCAGGCGCCATCTTACCTTAAAGAACTCATTATACCCTACTGTCCTACTGGGCATTGCGTTCCAAGAATGCACGGTTGTTGGTTGTTCCTAGAGTCTCTAAAAGTACAATGGGAGCCAGAGCCTTTTTTTATCAAGCTCCACTTTTGTGGAATCAGCTTCCAGTTTGTGTTCGGGCGGCAGACACCCTATCCGAGTGCGCTTAAGACCTTCCTTTTTGATAAAGCGTATAATTAGCTATATATATATATATATATATATAGCAGCTAGTTTTGCTGCTATAGGCTTAGACTGTCGGGGGACACCTTACTTCTTCCTTCTCTCTGTCTGTACCTGTGTACTCTCATGTTCCGAATAACCCAGCTTCCGCCAAATTTCTTTTTGGTGTCTATCTACGCCGGGATGATCCTGTTGCTGCGGTCCTGTGTCCTGGATCCTGTATCCTGAGTCCTGCATCCTGAGTCCTGGATTTCGAGTCGTGGCTGAACCTGTCTCTGTGCTCCTGCCTGACTCATCATACTACTTCCCTGATGGCTCCCACAGGATTGTTGACATCCTCGTGGATTCATCTTCTTATTATAGACACATGCATTTCCAAACATTTGGTCTACCTATGTTGTAAATGTATTATCTTTTCGATTTACAGACGGCATCTATTGCACGTCTGTCCGTCCTGGGAGAGGGATCCCTCCTCTGTTGCTCTCCCTGAGGTTTCTCCCATTTTTCCCTTTAAACTGTGGGGTTTCTCCGGAAGTTTTTCCTTGTACGATGTGAGGGTCTAAGGACAGAGGGTGTCGTATTGTCATACTGATATTCTGTACAAACTGTGAAGTGCACTGAGACAAATGTAACATTTGTGATATTGGGCTATATGAATAAACATTGATTGATTGATTGATTGATTGAAGGGCTGAGCAGCCTTAACTGTAATCCCCCCTTCCCATCTCCAAATAAGATAACAGAGTACACCCAAAGACACACACTCAGATTAATCCAGCACTATATGCAGGATGTTTGGTATATTTCAGTGTTTCAGGGAAGGCTGGGGGAGTCAGGATTTGAGTGGTGACTAACAGAAATAGTACTGAGGTGACCAAATTAGTCACAGCCTTAGTTTCCATGTCTGATTCTAAAATGTGTCAAAAGGAGATCACCAGGAAGAGTTGGAGATGAGTTATTGACATAGTGTTCCAGCTGTAGTTATATGATATTTAAGATTAAGGGCCGTTTGTTGTGCGTGCGATCATTGCCTGCGATCATTGCCTGCATATGTGACAGCAATATTTGTCCTAAAACATCTTGTGAAGCGTGTGTCTGTATTGGATACAAGTCCATCTGTGTTTTTGTGAATGTGCATGCTTGAGGGTGTGTGTGAGGAATGAGTGCATGGGCATGTGGGCTGTAGCGCTGACGTAACTCTCTGAAAGCTGATACAGCCTCGGTGCAGGCAGGGGTTCATAACCGGCTCCGTCACTATAGGAAGTCTGAATGAGGGGTTTTCAGCAGTGACGCTTAGCGATGGCTTTCTCCCAGTTGCTATGGTCTGATAGGGTGGGTGGGGGTTAAATAGGGGGTGGGATGGTGACTGTGCAAACTCACCCTATCGGCTCAACTATAGGGCTCAGGCACTTCTACCGATGCCTCCCCCTCCTCTCCTGCATGCGCATTCCCTGGTGTCATTTCTCCTTGAGGTATAGAGGAAGCCAACTAACCCCCCCCCCCCCCCATCATCATAACACACTACGCACATACCAGATTCTCCAACTGTCAAAACCAGTTCATTGTGATCATTTACCTCACATACAGTGAGAGTTATTATACAGAGGAAGACACACACGCACAGAGAGCATAACACGATGTACACAGGCAGGCACACAAACACACTATCATTTGCTCCATGCCCCCTACTCTGACTATAAACAAACTAGCATGCTCACCAAACTACGACCTGAGGTGTGGTCCCTCTCTCCACAAACACATACTCTTCCTCCTCTCTTCTCCACTGTGATGGTGAACGGGGAGGGGGCGGTCTGTTCCTGAAGGTGTGTGGCAGCCTCGTCCTGTGCTCTTACCTGTCCAAGATGTCATGGCTGGACGTGGTCGTGGCTCCCAGCAGTCCTAGTGCTGCACTCCCCACCGCTGCGGCAGCCCCGCCGCCTGCCTCCATGATACTGACTCACTGCAATGAGCTGCCTGCCAGAGGAGCAGAGAGGGAGGGGAGGAGGATGTGGAGAGGTAGAGCGGGAGGGAGAAATACAAATGAGATTGAAGAAATGACATGTAGAGGCAATAGGGAGGATGACGAGGGAAAACAATGGGGAATATTAAGAGAGGAGACGGGAATGAGGGGAAAAATGGAAAAGAGGAAAATGAACGGGAATATTGGCATGTGAGCAGGATGAGAGAACAGGGAGAGAAAGAAATCATTAGTTGTTTGTAGATCAAAAAGTCATGCTGATGGAGCTTTGCAAAGCAGGATTTCACTTTGTGTTAACACATGGAGATTCTGGCTCACACGTTCCAGTGTGAATGCAGTCCGACAGCAACATTGGCTGCACTGGTGTCCTCTGATGACTGTGCTCTATGAGCTCTCTATTTCAAAACAGAATATCAACCGAATAATATTTAAGCCAGTCCATGTTTTATTTGAAATAATTGTATTATTCTCTACAGCAGCACACATTCACCGACTTAGTGACAGCTTTCATACGAAGAAGAGAAGCTCAATGCAGTTTTCAAGTATGTTCGATTTCAATAAACATTTATAGCAAATTCCCCAACAAAGTATAACGGGCGGCTGATGCTCAGGAGGAAGATGGTCGTCCTCCAATCAGAGAATCGTAGGTTTGATCCCCACCTTTGATCCCCCACCTAAAACATGCTAAGGGAGTGTGTGAATGTGAATCTCCCTGGTCAGGTGTACTTTGTATGGCAGCCATTGCTTCCGTATGAATGCGTATGAATGGGTGAATACTAAAAGAGTAATGTATTTTTATGGTTGTAGAGAACTATATAAAAAGGCAGCCCATTGACCATTTACCATAAATGCAACACTGACACACATCCAAAACACACTGTTAAATGACTAGTATTTTTAAAGCACTTTAATGTATATAATTTATATTTATATGGTACCATATCTTAAAGTAAAAGTCAGACATACAGTTAGTGAGTCCAAGACCTCAGTCCCCCACTGTCCAGACTGCTTACAGAGCAAGGGTCTACTAAACAGTCTTCCAGTCAACCAGCATGTCGTGGGGGGGGGGTGGACGACTTTGCTTAGAATGCTTACCAACTTTTTCTTTAGGAAAAAAAATAGCAAAGTTGCTTCAGGTTTTTTTTTCTGTCCATAATCTATACAATTAATAATGTAATCATTTCAGCTCTTAAAGTGCCTGTTTCCCATTTCAAAAGGACAGTACCCCAGTAAATTACAACAATTCTTTTTTTCACAGACACCGGCAAACAGTGAAAACAAAATAAGGTTTCTTAGAGGACCGTAGCATTCCCTTCTCGTGATGTCATCTACCGTTATATGTAATTATTTTCACAGAGAACATGCATTCTTGAAACTGATTAAGGTGAATTTGGGACTATCGCCAGTGCTTTCAGTGTACCCATAATCACAGCAGATAACTACCACTCTGGTGCTATTGCAATAATATGACCAATCAGATGACAACCTCCCAATTACATTTAAATGTAATGTTTTCAGCAGACAGGAACACAGCAAGAATGACCCAATACAAGTCTGGAGGAGAGGAAGTCCGTACAGCCTGTTTTTCTGTTGCAGTCACTGGCTATGCACCGTAATCCCAGGAGGATGATGCCAAGACGAGAGAGATGGAGGGACGATGGGAGGGGGCGAAGGAGGAGAGAGCGTGGAAGGAAGGATCCTTATAGGCCACACAGAAGCAGCTGCTTGTACATCTGACAAAGACTCGCTGGGCATATGTTATCCCCAGGGCTCTCTATGGTGCGCAAATTAGTCAAAAACACCATATTCATACTATCTATAATAGTAGTCAATAAGAATTACACATTTTCTTAATATATAAATAATAGTTTTTACTTTTCTGTAACAAGAATTTCTTTAAGTTGCTGAAGTTAGTTCACATGTTTGAGAACCTTTTTTGTACTTAAAAGGCTTCAGGGATCAAGGGCAGTATGAAGCTTTCCTCACATATAATACTGGCCTTGACCGCTGAAAGAGCCTCCCTCAGAAACAAATAGGTCACCCTGTTTTGAGCGTCAACTAACTAAGAACATCCAGACAACCTGGCTGCAAGTGAATCGAGGTGGAAAGATTATCATCTAATGAGGCTGTATACACTCATAGATTACTTTATTTTAACCAACACCATATTGACCGGACAACAACAGTGCATGGCATTTCGACCGCTACAAACACGTGAGGGTTGTGATGCGAGCGTGTGCTGTGGACACAGAGTACATGTTGAGATTCATCTCATGTCCTGGGCTACTGTAAACTCCTGGCCCTAAATCACACACTAACAGGAAGGCCACAAGCTAAACCAATGTGACAGAGTGAGTGTGTTTGTGTGCTAGTACCTGAAAGCATATGCTATCTGTGTGGAAATCCACATCTAAATTGTTTTTTTTTGTGTAGAGGGAATTAAGTGTGTGCAGTATAAGAGGAAGTGAGTTTGAATATGCCAGGCATGCAGGGTAAGGCAGGCTGATGCAGCAGAAAAGCCATAAAATGGCCGACCTTGAGGACAGAGACTGAGCTCTGAAGAGATTAAAAATACAGTCTGAATAGTCTCACACTAAACATCCCTTATTCTCACCAGGATGGCAGAGTTACTGATGACAGTAGAAGTTGTTCATATTAGAATCCAAGATTGTGTTTTTGCTGCATGTCGTTCCCTCTCTCCCCCTTTCCTGTCTTTTTAATAAAGTGAAAAGGCCACTTTAAGAAATCTTTATTTGTAAGTGTCAAAGACGACTTTTTTTTTGCCGATGATTTTTTTTTCATCCAAAACAGTATCAATGCTAAGTTGTATTCAATGACAAGCAGTCATCCAGGGCATCACACATTGTATCATCCTCTAAGAGCGGTCCATGAATGAGTCCTTAAACCTTGAAATAAACTAGCTTTTTACCACGTCCGGTTCCTCAAAGTCTGCGGTTTTTAAATGTTTTTTTCGATAGAAGCTGCGGTTAACACAAGCTGAAGAGAAATGTTATGTTTGACATAAAATCCGTCATTAAACACCTCTGGGGAATGTTTGAGGCTTCTACGTGTCATAAAATGAGCAGTTTCTAACAAGTGGCTAAATGAGACTTAACATCATCACACTGAACATTAGCCACCTTTAGCTTAGCCATGTGATGATGTAGTTTGTTTATAGCCTAACGTTAGTCTTTTAGGTTTTTGAATTGGGACTAAAAATAAACTAAAGAGAGCAACTTCATACAATGCCACCAAAAATAAGACAAAAAAAAAAACGCTAGGACAAACTATGAATACATACAGGCAGCACATCAACATTCATATAAGCTCAAATAATGATAAAGTCCCTTTTTCAAAAGCCATAAGATGTGGGTGTAACTTTACTGTTGCTCTCATGTCAGATGAGGAACAATGACTCTCCTCATACAGTGGTCATTATGTACTCTGTTTGAACAGGACTGTTCCCTGGCAGTCAGTCTGCTGTATTACTGCAGAACAGAGCCACATCACAGTGTGGTTTTACCAAGTCAACAGATCCTTTTCCACTAACCACTAGATGAGAACAATACCTGTAACCACGGTTACTGGACACAAAACAGATGGTGTCAGCTTTAGCCTAATAAAGATCAGCAGACAAAAATAATACACAATTAAATCAAGACTTAAATATCATTGTTGACAAAAGTTTAATCTGATCTAATATTTGACAATTACATTTGAAAAATAAATCCTGTTTTTATTCAGACTCAAAATCAGCTGCCACACATAAAAGCAACTAACATAAAAAATACATTTATATTCATAAAGTCCATTAGGTTCCTGTATAACATTTTGTAGTTATTGCTATAATTTCTCTTTGAGCAACAGATTTCATCTCATGCTAATGAAACACAATGCACTAAAATGCACTAAACATTACCTTTTACTCTGCGGATACCATTTAGAGCAAAATACAGATATTGAGACTGAGCCAAACAGGCTATGAGTGTAACAAGGCTTATTTCTTGATTCATGCTATCATTACCAACCAGTCTAAATGAAGACATAACGTTGGAGTTGGACCCACTATTGCTAGTGGACAAATGATCCTCTGAGGTCAGACATTAGCATGAAAATGATCAAAGTAGTGATTTACTTGTTTTCATCATTTATACTAACTCTATTAACTCCTTTCAGATTGACTTGTCAATGGTTGTGCAACAGGAAAAGTCAGAGAAAAGTCAGTAGGCAATAGGCATCCTCTGGGGACCATGAATATTTGTTCAATGTCATGGCAAAGTAAAAAGAGAACTGGATAGTGTTGGGAGCGGGGCCCGGTTCATTCCTAAGAAGTTGCGCATGAAGCCAAATGGACTCAAGTACAAAAATACCAAGACCATGGATCTCAGCCCAATGGAAGGATGCACACATTTACTTAAGCTCCGCCTCCAATCCGCTTTGTCACTGCCTGTCTCGGCTTAGTCAAATGAATGGAGAAGGATAATTACACTGGATCTTTTAGCCCACTTCACAACTTTGATAACATAATCATTTAAATGAGGGCTTTTCAAGTGTTCGAACTGTGAAGATGATATACGTTATATATACAGTAAAGAATTGTATATTCACCATATTGCCACTGCAAAAATAAGCTTCAACAATCCGCTCACTTCCTGAGGGCTAGGTTGAAATGTGTGTGGTAGCTCCAAACACTAGGCCCGGAGCTCTGGAGTACAGATTTTCCCACCTAACCCTCCGATGACCACAGCTCTTCCAGTGTAGTGCCTCTCCTTAAACAATTAATTGAGATGCAAATTAGGGCAAGGACATTTACTGGAGACTTTAGGGTCCATTTGTGCAGCGCCCAGCAACACCATTCAACGTGCCATGGCAGCATTCTTCTGCAGTGTTTCTGACTGCCTAGCTAAATGTCGGCAGTATGTGGCCATCCCCTGGTTTCTGATATGAACAGCAATTTGTTAAGCCATTTCTGCCTCAAATACCAAGAGGGCATTAC